TGGAGGCTGGTATGAAATCATTTGATTTCCATTATAACTAAAGTTATTAGTTTAATTCAGCACACATTATTTCAATAGCATGTTTTTGCACATACTATGGGATTTCTTTACTTTAGCATAATGGATGTGGTAATATCAGAATGCAGTTTTTATTCACAAAATATCTTTGCCTCATGGATATGCTTGAGAAGTATTGTATGTGATAAATTGAGCATTTTATGCATCTTGATGTTTGATACATCAGTTTACATTCACACTAAGGTAACACTGAAAATGCAATATTCATAAAAAAACTCATTGTAAAAACAAGGCACATTATGATAGACATTAATTCTATAGTTTTTGAAATTGTGACATCACTGTCAGTTGAATTTAGTGATGTAATAGTTAATGAGGTAACAGTTATGCTGAGACATGATATTTTATACTAGCCAGTTTTCCTAATTTTCTCCTTTATCATTAAGTATTCTATGGGTCATTTTCCTTGCAGGTTTATAAAAGCATTCAAGTTTTAAATGTATTGCAGCTGTGTGGGGAAATTACTTATTTTTAATTAAGGATTTAAGCCTGCATTATTTATAGTTCTGGATTGTAACATTTCAGGGAAAGAAGTGGCAGGAAAAATTACCTTGAAACATGTGTATGAAATTGCCAAGATTAAGTCAGAAGATCCACCATTAGAATGCACATCTTTAAAAGTAATTTGTGACATGTTGATTGGAACTGCACGTTCCTGTGGTATTGAAGTGGTCAGACATCTTGATCCTGTGGAATATGGAGAGTTTTTAGAAGAGAGGAAATTAATAGTTGAACAACAGAGAAAGGAACTAGATGAAAAGAAAGAAGCTCGTATGTTGAGAACAGGTTGAATGTATTTTCACATAACTCTTCAGTGTAACATAGTTTTAAGTACTTTTCAATGATGTGCAAAGAAGTGGCTGGTGAGATAAATCACTAAATGAACATAAATCATGGGTTCTTAACCTATGGCCTGTCAGTATGTTTTGTGCAACCCTTGTACATATTTGTTAACACTTTGGTAATGTATATGATGAAAATTAGTATGTGATATTAGAAGAAACAATTGTAATCTATTTGGCAGTAATTGTCTGCGACTGTTAAGATTTATATATGTTAGATCGCAAACTAGGACACATCTTACTGATAAACACTTTGAGAGATGCATGCAAATCACATCAGAAATTAATCCTGATAATTATAATTACTCAGTATGTAAAATATCTCATCAGTAATGACAGATTTTGTTAATTTTTTTTGCATTAGTAGGTCTAATATAGTGTTTTTAATGAAATGCCATATTGTTGAGTCACCTCCTGTTCAACCAAATGACAGTGGGCATAAAGAGATTTGAAAACCTCCAGAATGTAACAGAACTTTTGTATGAAGATGTGGTCCAATTGTCATCCAACACTGCAGATCTACAAAACAGCTTCCAACAGTGTGAAAGCAAAGAGGCTGGGATACTAATGGTAGCAACACAGAAGTTCAGAAAGGTGGGAAACTTGGCAAGGCACAGCTGCTAACTAACCCACTGTTATTTAATATTATAATTTGCAAATTAAACACCCATATTGATCGATTTCATAGAATCTCAAACTCACCACAATTTCTCCTGCCATGGTGGTGGTCTCACTCTCTTTTGCAGCTAATTCCTCTGTGGTGATTAGGTAACATGGACATTGCAGCTGCCACCTGGGGTCTGGCTGGTCAACAAATTACTCATTTTGGCTAGTGACTGTCAAGCACCTGTGTTGAAAACAAGTGTCCAAAAACTTCCTCCATGATAACGGCCTCTACTTCCGTGAACTCGGTAAATTCACGGACATGGACCGAACTCCTTTATTAGTTAATGCAGCAGATAATTTCTGGTTTAATACATTTACTAAGTTGCCCAAAATTGTTTATGGGATTTCTTGTATACTACAAAGATGTAAGGAGAACTATAAACTCCAAGAGACCATTATCATACTGTAAGAGAGGCACAAGAGGGAAATCACTAGCCTAGGAGAGTTCTACCGCAGGGACGCCACGCAAGCAGATGAATGGATAAGGCCAAATTTTAAACTTGAGCACACCTACCATGATTTGCTGTCCATGGTTTCCATGGACGGGGACTATAACGAGCCTGACCCACTTGCATTTGTGCGATGTATGACAAGTGCACACACAATCATCCAAGGGAGCAGAATGGTGATAATAAAGCAACACACACTGTGATCTAACATTTGTCTTGGTACATTCTGTGTTTCATTTCTATTAATGGTTATGAATTATCTTTTGGAAGCATTTTAGTACTTTGAAATAAAAGCATGTTGAATGAAATCAGACATTATAAGTAGTCCAATGAGAAATTTTGAAAATTAATGCTATATTAAATATTTTCAGAAGAGGCATATGGTGATAATTCATCCATTCACAGCCTAAGGCTACTGACTACAAATTAATAAAGGAGGCATTAAAAAGGACACATCTATAACAGGGTAATTTTATTGTCACACATGATTTACAATTGATAACTTTTTTCTGTCTTTCTGTGCATTCCTTTTTCTGTGTTTTCTTATGTGCTTTTGCAACTTTCCAGCTTCCTTCAATTCTTCATACTGTTCCACCAAATCAAGAACCCTTTTCTCGGCTAGAACAGAAGAACGTCAGACATTTAAAATTATTGTTAAACTTGCTCACAATACAAACTGATACATTTTCATTATTCCTATACTTACACTTTCTTTGGTATACTGGTTTCTTCCCCTGCTGTAACATTTCTATGCGAGCATTTTGTTGTTCTCTTTCTCTGTCTAACTTTTTCTTTTGCTTCCTTTCCTCTCTTTCTTGATTATCCTGTAGAATTATAAATGTAATCATATAGCTTGGTACACTGTAACTGAAATTTGCTTTTGTACAGAGTAATTAATCTGTCCTTTCTTAGGTAAATGAGAACTGAAAAATTGGCCATGTCCTACTGAGTCATAAACTCTATACTTTGCATTTGCCCATAACTAAAAGTATGCAAGGTTTCTTGATGAGTGATAATACTTAAAAGGCATTTTAAACTTTCTACTATTTCACACTGGTTAAACATTTTTTATTTTTTAATAATCCAGTTTAAACAGGTGTATATATTACCATGCGCTGAAGCAAGTATTTAATGTTTTCTATCCTCTTTGAATCAGTTTGAGTTTTCAGTTCCTCCTTCAGTTGTTCCTTTTCCTTTGCTCTAACATGATTTAGGAAGGCGTATGAATGATAAAATGCCTGAAAAACAACTGCAAAAATTATTGTCATTTATAAATAACAAGACTTTTATATGTCCTTCTGTTATGATCGTAAGCATCTATTCGAGTGTGTCAAAGTTCCCAATTCATTGGCTTGATGAACAAAACAAAAACCAATCAATCAAAAATCCAAAAACTTATTTATTCTATTTGAAACAAGGAAGAATATCTTCACCATTAAGAAGGCAGAAGAAATCAGGAGAAACTAGAACTGAACAAAACACATAAGTTTTTAGTATATCCTGTTTATATAATCTATTGGACAATAACAAATACCACAAAGAACAACAAAGGAACTCTTAGACACTAATAAGGAGGTTGGTCTACAAACAATAGCATACAGTTTATATTTCATCACCAGAACAGAGCGCAAGTTTATGGCAACACCATTCTGCTACAAGTCCATTCAGCGTTACAACATAGAAGACCATCATGGACATTGTCACAGCAATAAGAATCCCAGATACTCCTATTCTGTCTGCAATCCTTCAGACACACTTCCAAAGTCTGAGTTAAAAATCTTTGTGCACAACAAAGTTTTAGTTCTGACATGGACAAGTTCTAGGCACTGGTACATATTTTAGATGTGTATCGCAGCTAGAGAGTTAAAAAAAGATGATCTTTAAAAGATATCTATTTAAAAAATTTGGTTCTTATGTGGATGTGTTTTACATATGTACTTTTGCTACCTGAGAACATACTTTATTTTATAGGAGTATGTTCACAACACAACAAAAACATGATCTTTGTGTGCACTTGTGTTTGAGGAGAGTTCTAGTCATAGAATGGATATAATTTCAGGATCCTATAGAAAGTGGAATTAGTGTTCTTGCTCCCGCAATTTTATTATTACTAATTGTAGGGCATTAAAAATTATGGGCTATATGTTCCCCTTCTACACACTGGTACTGTACCAAGACAATATGTATACTTTAAGAAAATATGGGAAACATGGTCATACCTTTTCATTGAATGAACCACACAAATTGTCAAATCTTGGGTCACGTATAGCTGTCTTTTTTGAAGGAACATCTAGGTTCCCAGCAGTTTTTGATGACATTTCACGAGGTCTGTAATAAATTCAAGAATACAAATGATTTTATTTCCTAGAAATATATTTTATAATACCAATGAAACCTGTATTTATTCAGTGTTATATAGCAAGGTTACAGAAGTAGCCATAATCTACTTTAACCTCTACTGCCATGTGCTGTGGCTTACACACAATCCAGCACGCATGTCTGTGCATCACATTAGCATATCACTAAACCACTAATCCCAGAGTTGAAGTCTGCCAACAACGCCTTACTTTGGGGGTTCAAATCCCATATTTCAGTATGATAAAGTTTGAAGTACTATCCCAGCCTGGTAGAAATGAGAAAACCCATCTCAGTCCACAATCAGAATAGTCACCCCCAGGTTGGGATTCAAGCCTGGAACTTCCCAAGATTACAATATATTGTCAAATTGTGTTGTGGTAATGGCATAATGAAAAATGAGTAAGGCTTTTAGAGTTTAATTTCAAAGCAAAATAGCAGTACCAACCTTATTTTAAAACAAAGAGGATAATAAAACTTATTCTCCACAATATGGAATTTGATGCCAGCAGTTTTACAAAACTGGTGGTCTCAGAGCAAGCCACTGGATTCCAATTGAGAGATTCCTAGATTCAATAACCAGTCGAATCTTGGAAATTTACCTGTGCACACAATGAAGCATTCGCACGCCAAAAATGTTAATATGACCAGAGGAAGTCAGAGCCCATCTATGATTTTTACCCCAAATTATGCTGTTGTTCCCTGAAAATCTACTAGTACAAATATTACAGAAGAATTTAGAACATGAAGACTGAAGTTATGGACTGTTTAGGCATGGGATGGAAATAAAATTATCTGAAGGCATAAAAACCAAAATGGTGAATATATGAGTAATGGGAAGCCACAGAACAGGTAAGGAAACACTGGACTTCAAAACATACTTATGATATGTTAGAGAAGAATGGAAGAGGGTTTGTCATAAGATGATCCACCCTGATGGCCACTTGTCCACTTAAAGCAATCCTCTCATCTAAGAAATGGATTTATTCTTATCGCTGGGCAGTCAGAAGTCAGAATGTTTAAGACCATAACTGAAGGTACTTGCTAAGAGTATACTTAAACACTGGGAAAAGATTACAAATAAATATATCCTTTCTCCTAACACATAGTTTTTTGTTTTGTTTATTATATTAAGACTTCTTGATAGACATCAATGCAAATAATTTTTATTTTTTACCTGTTCTTATTCAACCTTTTGAAATTTGTTTTCTTCATATGACTTGTTCCAAACATTGCTTCATTATAAACTTTAGACCCCAACTGTTCTTTCAATTTCTGCATTTCCTCAAAGCTCATTTTGGACAATTCTTCACGAATAGCACTCTAGAATAACAGTAAAAAATAACATATAAATATGCATGCCTCATCAGATTGATGTTGCAGTTTCCTGCCACAAAGAAGGATACAATCTTCATGATAATTACTGGGAAAACTGTCAAATAGAAAACCCAACTTCCTAAACTGTCACACAACTCCAACACTTTTCTCATTCCATGCAAACATCTTCACAGTTTGCAGTTATCATAACAAATGTGTCTGGCAACAAAGCTATACTAGTTGGAGTGAAAAGTACCAACAAGTGAAATAACCTAAATTAACCTGACAGAATTTTATTAAGAAGTAAACATCGGAATAAATTGATAAATAACTGAATTACTGCATATGTTGATTATGCACTTTCGTGCTAGCACAGTGTTGAAATGGACCATACTGGCAAGGACTCACAGAATCAGAGCTTAAGTAAACCATGATGATGGTCACACCAGCTAAAAATGAGTTGTTGGGTGGTAAGATGCTGACCCATGAAATATACAAGTACCTAAGAATGTATGTTTATCTCGAAACTAGAGATGAACAAACATTTACAATCAAAACGAAGGCATCTAAAACTAAAGACTATCTTAATCTTGAAAACACAAAATAAAATATGACTTTTTAACAAATAAAAACAAATCACCCGCTCAGGAGACACTCTTGTTTCCTCATCACAGTCCATTATTAATATGTTGCAGTAAATTAATAACATTCACGAATATTCCTTCGTCACTTCCCGGACTGAAATAATGAAACACAAAAATGCACTTCCTGCAATACAAACCATACGACAAGAAAATTACCTGGTATTCTCAATGGCATGCTGGTACCAACGATACCATTGTTAAACAACGTCACTAAATGACAGGAAAAAATACATAATTAAGACCAAGATAATTTACCAGAAAATAGTCCCGAGATATATTAAATATGACCTGCGAGCACAGACACAAACCCACCACAAAAAATTGGAAAGACCTGTATTTAAGCTATTGCCTGCGATCTATGACAAGGGCTGAATATAAAGGTCAACTTACTTGATTAAACTAGATCTAAGCTAACCTAACCAAACCTTACATAAAATAACCCAAACTAACCCGAAATGCAACCTAATCCAATGTAACTTATCCCAATCAAGCTTATACGAATCCAAAATAACCGACCCGCATAGGATCAAATCCACCACCGCTTAACGTTTATAAGGTTCCTCAAAAGAGAGCATCTACATGTCATACTTTTACCAGTTCAAGAGTACAAAACATGTTAACAGTATTATTAGCCATTTCTGAATTGAGTTTGGAATAGTTTCACTTCCACGCCACGTCAGTCTACGTTTCAATTCCCCAGAACTCCTTTACCATGTGTAATTTTGAGAGGTTACGCTGTGTAACATTTGAATTAACTTCATTACATTTGTTCTTTCTAATATGTGTTTGAAGAATCATTAACACATTATGCCTTTAATTTGTGTTCATGATGGAGAGGTTATTGTTTCTAGTTTGATCAGAGATGCATTGTGCCTCAAATAACTCAGAAATTCTAGTAAATTTTTACCAGACTACACTGTTTAATATCCCAGAAGACGTAAATCTTCATGTTTGCAAATTTAATCATTTTTGTGCAATGTGAAAGTTGGATGGCATTTAACATTGTTACTGACTGATCTCTTGGCAGTGGCTACTAACACAAATTAATACGAACTGCTACCGCCAGATCGTTGTGTAGTAATTGCACAAGCACGAAGACACATCTGCCACCTAACGTCAGTGATAGTGGATACAATATATGTTTGACGAAATACACCGCGTAAATTGCCAACATAAACATTTAGTTACCGACCTTGATGGTATTATGTGTGGTATGGATGTTTACCATTTACCATCATCCATTTGAAATGAAGATACACAAGTTTCTTATACTGTTAATGGTAGTTAATGGTGAAGGAACGCTGTCACAAGGAGACCAAAAAAGAGAAAAATCCAGAAAAGAAATAAAATCTAGAAAGGGTCCTGCACAAAAAAGTGTAATTGATAGGGGGCTAGTTGTGCAGGATCCATTGCCCGAAGACATTATTTCGGAATATCAGACATACCAAGGAAAGGTAAATGTACACTTTTCCGGAAAAGTTTTAGGTTATGTGACACCGTGGAATAATCATGGGTATGATGTTGCTAAGTTATTTGGAGAAAAGTTCAGTTATATTTCACCTGTATGGCTGCAAATACGGCAACAGGCACCAAAAGTATACGCTATAACAGGCACACACGATATTGATCTTGGCTGGATTGAAGCAGTGAGAAAGAGTAGTGGTTATAATGTAAGTGTGGTTCCTCGTGTGTTGTTTGATGGTTGGAATGTTAAAGACTTAATGTCCTTGATATCTAATGATGATGAACAGGAACACTTAATGAAAACACTGGTGAATTCTGCTAAAAAGTACCACTTTAATGGGTTTGTACTTGAATTATGGAGTCAGGCAATAAGTACAATGAACAAGAAGTCCTTAGTACAGTTAATTCAACAGATGGCCCACAAATTTAGAAATGCTGGAATTGTTCTAATACTTGTCATACCTCCTATACATGGTAATGTTTCAGAATCATTTAATACTGAAGATTTTGAGCAGTTGGTAGATGATGTAGATGCATTTTCTCTAATGACATATGACTTTTCAAGTCCACAGAGACCTGGTCCCAACAGTCCACTAACGTGGGTTCGCAATTGTGTGGAGAAGCTTGTTCCTCATTCAGATGTTGCTCAACGATCAAAGATTCTTATTGGCCTTAATTTCTATGGGAATGATTACACCCCAACAGGTGGTGGTCCCATTGTAAATAATCAGTATATATCTCTGCTAAAAGAGTCCCATGGGCGTTTGCAGTATGACCAAAGTTCTGCAGAGCATTACTTTGAACTCAAGTTAAAGACAGGAAGACATTTGGTGTTTTATCCAACTTTGTATTCCATACAAAAACGCATTGAACTAGCAGAAGAACTTGGTACAGGATTGGCTATCTGGGAACTGGGACAAGGTCTGGATTATTTCTATGATTTACTTTAACAGGAGCAAAAACATTATCTTTGATTTCTGATGGGGCATATGAATTTGACTGCAACACATTTATTTGTATGAGAATATTTTCTATAGCACCAGACTCTGTTTTGGATGGAATTCACTGATGTGTAATGAGTCAGCGTTTTACACAACTTATATATTGTTGGATATCATTGAAAATGTATTGTTATGTTAATTGTTCATTACCATTTTTCTGTTTCCGTGGCTATAGTTTAGTCCATTAAAGCTGAGTGGTAACTACATGTAACACCTGCTTTAACAACCAATAATTCTGTGTATGATTTAGGGAGTAAATAGCAATTATTTCCTTAAACATCATTAACCAGTTGATCTTTGTAATGGTTATGGGTTGTGTTCTCTTTGCCTTAAGTACTGAATATTTAAATATGAAGATGAATTCTGGCATTGAAGGGTTAATGTATAACTTTAAATTCTGGGGATAAGTTGTGTCAGATCTTGAGGGTTTTCCTTTTTGGCGAACACTGCAAGCTGTCATATTTAGTATTAATGAGTGTTGGAGGGGGAAGGGAGGTCCTGAAAGCCTTATATAGACAAGGTAGTAGATGGCAAATGGAATCATGAAGGGCATGAATGGTAGAACAGGGGACCAAAGTGCTATCCTAGCAGCAAGAACCCTCCCTAATACACGTTCTCCTGAAGATGGCAACTGTGGTCTTTACAGAAACGCTGGAAAGCCTAAAAATTTGACATTGCTTGTCCCTGAAAACGAAAGTTATACAGTTATTAACGTTTAATATCTTATTCTGTGAAAGTATCGTCTAGCTTTGTAAGAGACACTGTATTGACAGAGGCACACTATGGGGAATTATTACAGCACAAATGGAATAAAATGGCACAGTCATATTTCAGGTACTAGTCTACATTGTTTGTTTGTTGCGGGCTGTAAAATGACTACGCAAAAGTGGAATGTGTAAGAAATAAAAATCTGAATGCTAGACATTTTAAAACCTTGTTTTTAGTTTTTGATTGTTCCCACACACACACATACATGCACAATCCTGCTTCCATACCTGCCAAAATGAAGTTGGCAACAGCAAGTTTTATTAGTTTGGCCTCAAATAGATCACACCGTCTACAAATGTGACGTCAATGTTTAGTGATATCTTATGGAGGGAATAAGAACTGACTGTTTTATTAAACAACTTATAACCATTTCTCCTATCTACAATTTAAAATTGTGAAGATTAAAATATACAAAATTATAATTTTTCCTGTTGTTAAATATGGGTGTTCACTTCTCATGGAAAAGGAAGGACAAAGATTGGGTGCAAAGGAGAAAATTTGTACCTAAGAGGAAGGCAGTAACAGGGTTGTGTTGAAAGTCACACTAGTGAGGCGATTCGCATTTTTTGGCCTTCGCCAAATATTGGATTGTATTATACAGGATCATCAAATTAAGGGGAATGAAATGAGCGGGCCTAGCATACAAGACCTAAACAGAACAAAAAACGTACAGGCAAAGCTATGGTTGTCTTCGGGAAGAAATCATTTTGGAGGATAGTATTAAGATAAATCTTAAACCGGGTATGAGGGTGTGAATTGGACGACAGTCGGAAAAATAAGGCATTGTTGAATCAACAAATTGCACACGAAGTTACTTCCCCCTCCTCCCCGATGTATGGCAAACTGGTTGTGAAACACACTGTATATAAAAACACCCAAAAATCGGTTGTTCAGGATCCTAAACCGAATCAACTTGGACTCGTGACGTGCTGTACTGCGTGAACCTAATTATTACAGTTTTGATTGCAACTGGCAAGCGATTTGGAGAGGGAGAGAGAGAGAAAGCTGTCAAAGAATCTGCGTATCCTGTCAGTGGACACGTGTGCCCACTCACTCAGTGGACAGTCCAAGAATGAGCACACGTGTGCATGCACGTGACCTCACAGGCTCAAAATAGCGTTGATGGGACGTGTGCAAGGTACGGGGCGACTAAGGCGCCTTCTCTTGAGACGACTGCACCAGTCGCCGACATCAAACGACGCCAAGCGCCCACAACTCAGTTACCAGATTCAAGAAGCTTCAAGATGGTTTACGAGTCTGACTTCTACACCACTCGTCGGCCTTACAGCCGACCTACCGTTACTTCGTACTCCGTTACGGTAAGAACCACTTTCATTGTCCTTAGGCACGGCACAGTACAATAATAATTCCCAAATTTTTTTTGGAAATTCTTTGCATTCTCGGCAATTGCACAACCGTGGTTCGTCTAAACGTTGCGAAAGAGCAAGTATCGAACATAGTGCACTTTAGGGTTCTGAAGTATTACACAGTGTCAGCTGCAAAACTACACTACAACGGGTATTTTAGTAACACGATGCCATAGAAATTTAAAAGATCGAATTGTACGATTGGTTAGATATGTCCACGCATCGTTGTTCGCTTACATTTTCGTAAAATGTATCCTAATAAAAACTCTTTCAATTATCTAACGCCATACGAAACTTCAGACACAATATTCAATTAAAGCGGCAATTGAATTTTTTTTATCTTACAAATTCGCTTAAAGGTCATGTTACTCAGTATTGTTACTTAGTGTTATTTATTATAAGCATTGTTACTAAGCATTGTTCATCGCAGACACTTCAGAAGTACAAACGTGGAGAAATATTCAATCAGTGGTTCTCAACCGGTGAGCCGTGACAATTAAAAGTATGAAAATAATATTAACCAAAAACCTAGTACGAGTGAGACCAATCTAAGTAATATTTCTTTAAAAAATTGTACTCTTAATATAAATGTTAGTTCTCTATTCTATTTGTAATGTGCAGAAAAAATTCTCAATTGTGCCGCGAGAAGCAAAAGGCTGTGAACCACTGTTTCAGTTGTGTGATGTTAATAACAAGTTCTGTGATACTTTAGTTGAATCAGAGGGGCGAATGCCCATTCGCCCCTCTGAGCTACGCAGTTGGTCGACAGGGCTAAAAGGAAGCGACCAGCAAGAGAGAGTCTACGAGTCGTAATTCGGAAATAACACAATAATAGAATTTAATTTTGTCGTCTAATAATGACAAAGATTCCCAACCTTGTGTTATCTTGGCTTACTTCAAAAATTTACAGCAGGTCCAAGTTCATTGTTAACTACTGTTTCGTTTTAGCAGCTCGGTTCTTCAAATTCACTTTATGATTGGGCTGTCTATTACAGTTAATCGAGATGACAGCGTCAGCTCGATTAATTCGATATGTCTCGAAAAGTAGGCTCGGTTCCTTCACGTAACAAATAAGTCCTCTGGATCAGATATGATGTTGAATTCGATTCGAGGACATCCCGAATTCGATTAGGACAAGTTACTGCAAAGCGCTGGAAAGAAAAAGAAACTGGCTGGCATTTTATATAATCAGTTCTGTTGTGTTGCACCGTGTAGAGTAATAACGAACCTCGAAAGTAAGACAGAAGACTTTAATTAAAAAAATGTTATCCGGGCTAATACGGTAAAAAAATAACGCTCGGCCCCTGGACCGCAACTACCATCTCCCACATCCAAAATAATTACATTATACCCAATTAGATACTACACAATCTCAGCAGTTGATATAGCAGTATAAGATAACCGAATAACCTACAGTCACTCCACGAAGTATGTTACATAAAACTCTTTATCATTCGACACACGGTGCACCGGGAGAAAACTACCCGCTGGAATTTCGCGATACGATGTAAGTAACAGCAAATACTTTTGAATCTGCGTCCACAGAATTAGCAATGAGTAATTTTCTTCCTTGAGTAACACGCTATTTACATAACCAGTGCCAAGATGTGGCTGATTTCTTAACTTCCCTTGGCCGTGCGTCTTGAAGTTTGGCGGTGACCGTGTCTCGTAACAGAGGCTCCATCTTGCCTACGCCGCTGTCCACCTGCACGTTGTGTGAGTTTTGAATGAAAAATTGAAGGCACATCACACTTATGCCCCTCTTGCTGTAGAATTACGAAGGTAAAATGTAGCGTTGAAGTTTGTATGTTTTCTGGGATGTTGTGCCGCTAAGTATGGTAGAAACTGGCCGACGTTTCAGAGGACTACACGGCACAACAACCCAGAAGACAGCCATCTTCAGACTCACCGCCTTAAAAACCTCAAATCCTACATGACAATTCTGTTTGCCCGTATTAAATTTGTTATTGTATGTTAAACCTATTCTGAGCTAACAAAACCATGGATCAAATTGTGTCAGAGAAGTGAGATGGGAAATTTTGAGATTACGTATATGATCAAACGAAATAATGGGTAAAATCTTATAGGCCTACAAACGCAAGGGTTAATTTTACATATCCTCAGCTAGTATGATGACGTCACAACATAGTTCAGTTTTAAAATGAAATAGAGGTCACTGACCTACTTGTTGGAAATTGGCCCATTTGAATAGCAAATTACGAGAACAGAAAATGTTTTGACAGACTCCGGCCAAAAGCGTGTTTTGGAATAGTAAGCAGTAAATTTGTTATGCTTTGCCTTGCAAGAATCTCATCAAAATCGCATGTTATTTTAATAAACAGATCACCAGTCCCACTAATGTAAAGATACATCAAGGAAGAACTGTACATGATAAATTCTCAAACCAGTAATTGACCAATAGTTACGTCAGAATCAGAATACATTAGTGTTACTCGTTTGACAGAGATTCAAATGCTGAAATATTTAGCGCTGAATTATCTCTCCTCTTACATCGTTCACATATTTTATTTTGATTATTTTCCGCACATGTTGACTACCATCCAAACCTCGAAATACACGTCCAGACTTTTAACCAAACTGCGGTAAAGGAAATTATTTCAAGAACTTTAATGTACTAACGCAAAAACTGAAAGATTCGTGAAAAGTGACACGATTCTTACAAAGCTTTAGAATTGTCATTGTGCTATATTTTCTGGCAGCGTTCGCTGCCATCTGCCAACACAAGAATCCCGTCATGATGCAAATTCCGTCTCCCCGTCTTGAATTTCGAAATGATCATGGCGCTCAAGACGGGAGCATCCAAATTTAGCCAGAGAAGCTGACCGCGCCGTATGACGTCGCTGGGTTGGTAGCACCCACGCTGAACCACGCACAGACTTCAATTACCGAACCGAGCGAAGGTCTGGCTAGATCGGACATCGTTTGTGATATTATTATTGCTGACTGCTGCTACAAGCACGCGATTTACGTAAAATAAGTTAATTACTTGCGATTAATAATTGATGCAAGTCAGAGGCAGTAAGTACTGAAAGCACGCGAAGATTGAAGCCGTCGTTTCAACATTTCAAGGTGCAAACGGCTCTAAATGAACGCACAGTGGAAATTCATGTTGGTACGTTCGGATGTTACAAGCTAATTTTCGAAACTGTTGAATGGGTTTTGATCAAACTTGATTTATGTTACCCCAAACACCTAAACGAAAACTGAACGACGTACAGTAAATATAGGCCTGAAAAAGCTTCGATTCTTAATCCACGATCATTAATCGATTTATACTGAACATAGGAATCTCAGAGCTTCGATTCCCGCTTGACAATGCATCTGCCTATATTGAAGACAGAAATTATCCTGGATCCTTTCAATAGATCATCGAGGAATCAATGGTAAAAAAAACGCAGTGAAAACTGCTTAATTTATGAAATAAAATATTCTTGATTTTGTCATTTAGTAAAACTTGTCTTTAAACGTAATACGAATTGGCGAAGAAGTTTATGTCGAGAGACAAGAAATTTAAAGTTGGGAAAGCGGAAACATTTTCGCTGAGAAATCTTGTATCGACGAGCTTTCGGTTGATATTTCAATGGTCCTCAGGTGAAATGTTTACACAGATTTTATCCAGTTTGTTCACAACAGGCAGATGCGACATACAGAGCTTACTAACGTGTGCGATATTTTTACTGAAGATGCTAAACTAAAACTCTCGACAGCGAAAGAGTGAACATCAAGATGTATTTCGTGTTGCGCCGTGTAGCCTAGACTACACGGCGCAACACAAAAGACCCTCCGCGATAATCTGTAATCTCAGGTTCTGAGTAATTTCAGAAGAAAGAAAAAACATAATTGTTTGCAAATCATATTTATATATTTCTCCCTGTCGGTGGCCAAATACGCAAACCTTTTCAAGAAACGTGAGCCTACCCATTTAATCAATATTAATGAAGCCAGCGGATTTCTGTCCTTTTATTTAAAAATAGTATTAATTATAGCTTCCAACGAAACTAACGAGCTTTAGGTAATCATAAGGCCGATAATCCCTCAACAGGATTATCATAGCAACGGTTTAATATACATATATACTAAAATAATAATCCCATAAGGTCGAAATTAAGAATCGTTACCATGGCAATTGTTATAATAACAGTTGACACGAAGGTGACAGACATCGCTCGTAACGTTATCAACAGCTTCGGTACAATAACCCAAAGAGAGTCCGAAGGATATTTCGGAAATAACGAAGGTCCTCACAATCATGCCGGTGAAGCCCTCGTAGCACGTGACAACGCACCACAGACGAGGAGGAGCTGCCCAGAAACAGACCTTTTGCTCACGGCAACAGGAATTAAAATTGTGGTGA